ATAGTTTGCGAGTGGCTGTAGATGTTTTTGAGGTGGTTGTAAGTGATTGCTGAAATTTTTGAGGTGGTTATAGATGGTTGTAGGTAGTTGTAGGCGGTTTTAGGTGGTTTTAGGTCGTTCCATGTTTAGTACTTACCAAAGCTGAATACATTGTTCTAATTTTTTTAATTTTAAACAAAGTCCATATGCTCACACTTGTTTAAAATAATGTTAGTAGAATATGCCATCTCGCTCTTCACATCGGTGGTATAAGCACACTGGGAGGCCTCTGTGGGACTAGAACTCAGACTACTTCGGCCAGGGTGGAAGTCTTTAAAAAACGTAAGAAACTTTTCCCCTCAATCGGGGAATTTAGACTACCTTGTATTTGCAATGCGTCGTAAAGAGTATTGATAACAGGCTTCGACAACAACATGTCAGATACCCTAACAACCTCAACTTCTCGCGGTGGGTCTAGACGGATGGTTAGTCCTGTAACGTTTGAAAAGGACAGAGATACTGCGGATGTACAAATCAACCGAAGCTCACTGGAAAATGGCCACGGCTTTAGCGACACATTCACGAATTCTACAGGTTCTTCAATTTCTATGCCTCAAATTGACTCGTGTATTCTAGGAAAAGAAACCCTGGAACAGAGGGAAAAGTTTACTGTAAGTAAAACCGGTAGATCCTTCGATATATTGCTATTGAGGTCAGCTTTAGGCTTATGTCTGCGGCCTGTCTCTTCACAGCTTTACAAGATCGAAGTAAACAATGGTCGAAAAAGTTGGATAATCTACAGACGTTATGGAGACTTTGTTCTTTTGAATAAAAAGGTGATCATTAGGAATTCTTAAGTTTAGATACGGATGAAAAACTTTGAAAGAGTTATTGTACATTGTAAAATCTTCGATTATATTTTGCAAAGCTAAGCGAATATTGCAGTGTGCGTTTTGATCGATATATAGCGTTTTCCAGTTATTGAAAAAGGTTACGTATTTTTTTCCTATCTCAATAATATATATATTGAGATAGGTAAAAAAACAAAGAGGCTATACTCTCATCCCTACAAGCCTGTTTCATGATTACTCACTCATTTGAGGATTTTATTGTCAAGAATATTCATATATAATCGCGCTCTACTTCTACGTATTGAGCTCTGACGGAAAAATCAAAACACAGACTCCCTGTTCTTTATATATATATACATATATTTATATATATTCTTTTTTTTTTTTTATTCAGTTACGCAGGCTTTTTCCAGAATTTCGACTGCATTTGCCTGGCAAACGTTTCTTCAAAGATAACTTTGATAAAGGTTGGTTAATCTAAGTTAAATCAAGTAAAACTACTTAACATTCACTCGCTGTACAGGTTTGTAAACAAATACTAAATATTTGTACATCTTACTGTTCTAAATTTTAATGTATCTTGAAACTTGCTGGGGTAGATGTTCGATTTAAAGGCCATCTACTTCATCGTGGGTGTTAAAAGTAAATTTTCCTGGTAACTATTAAGTTGGTTACACGTGACGTCTGTGTTACGTTGTTATTACAACACTCGTGATAAACACGTTTAGAGCCAAATTATTAATAAAAATGTGACAAGGCATCATTTTCTGTATTCATTTAATATTCTTTATTTCCCTGAGAATTTCATTATAATTACCAGTTAGTTGATGATGTACGTAGCAAAAAAACCCCTCTACTGAAGTGTGTTGAAAAATTGAAGTTCATGAGGTGAATGCTCTGTTATTGTGACTGAAACGTGTAAAATTAGCAGTGTGAAACATTTCCTTTGTATGGTATGGAAGTAGGAAGCATCTCCTATAACACCTTCCTATCATATTTTATGATCTTAAAGGAAAGATTGGACAAAAATATCATGACAAGCATCATAATGATGGCTTTTATTTTAAGATGGTGTGTAACAAATGTTATTCTTGATGCAATTTTTTGTAGTATGTAACATAAGTACAGGTAAGAACATGATTTCAAGTACAACTTGGTGCTATTAAGCACAAGTAATTTTTTTAAAGACAACAAAATTGCAAGAGGCATTAGGGCAAGTGGAATTTGCAGTCTTTGAAAAATTTACAGCTGCTTATTTACAACAAATTGCACAAGAAATCCTGTTGTACTTGTGTTACATGAAAAATGCACTCATTTTTATGCTAATCAGAAGCGCATAATTTCTTCATGTATATTTTTATAATGGTGATATTCCAATACTTCACCATAATGAACATGACTGATAGTTTGTGGTTTGGAATAAATGTATTTCTTTGGGAGAAAATGTATGTATAATCACCTGGTTTGGTCCAGTTCATAATTCTCATAATAAGTTCATGATCTAGGACAAATTGGATGGATATTTTTTTGTAAACCAGACACAATGAGTTGTCTAGTCTAAAACTGAACAAAGGGAGGTTATTTTCCCTTTCAATTGTTAGATAATAATATAGATACATTTTAGGAGGGTCTCCATGGGGGAATGGCTATTATGGCTAAGGGTTCAAATTTTGGCCAATTTACAGCTAACTGTTAATATCTTTCTATTGTAGTCAAAATAATTTTTTTGCAGTTTATGACTTATGGTTAAAATTTGTCAATTTTAGGCCTAATGTCTAAATGTTTTGCCCTTTTACAGCTACCATTTCACCCCATTGAGATGCTCTTTTAGGTGCCTCCTGGTTTGGAAAGCACGGACAAAACTGTAAAGAATACTTGTCCTGATCTAAACTAAATTTTAACTTAAGCTTGATGCTGTTTTTATTGCCAGCTAGGTAAAGTTTTACAGAGACAAGAAAGGGCAAAACAAAAAGACCCCTGTTGTAAATTTGCAGCTACAAATTCTCTTTTAAAACCTAATTGTGCTGAAGCCACTATGTTTTGATATTCTACAGGCTTTATTGACAAACGCCAAAGAGGTCTTGAAGTGTTCACGAACAATTTGTTTGGCCATCGAAATCTTGTTCTCAGGTATGTTGAAAATATGATGTTTATAAAGACAGGAAGTGGTGAGCTTGGTTGTTAAATAGAGAGAGCATTATTTTGTATTTTCATGTGAAGTATAAGTCAATTGAACTTAAAGTGTGGTCAAGCTTACTAATGAAGCTCAGTGTTAGGCTGTCAGATTGTTTATCCATGTAAATTAGTTACAAGAATTTGGAGTAAGATTGAGGCAACAACTTTTACTTGATATGTTTGAATATTCTCATTACCAGCCTGCTGGATAATGTATGGATATTATAGGGAGAAGTTACATGTTAATCACTTCCAGGAGTTAAAGGGTTAAATTAGTTGGTCTGAGGTTTTAATCTTCACAAGGAACTTGCTTTTGTTTTCCTATACTTGGACAAATAAATAACATTTCTCATAGTGTAATGTGTTTTAGAAATTTTTATTATAACTTAAATTTTTTCATGTTAATAGTAGCTTAGTGATGTGTCATACAGGGTCCCTCCCCACCGTTACAACCCATTTGACTGTTGTCTGTGCCCGGGGAATGGGAATTTGAACTTTGCCTGGCCATGGTAGGGAATTTAAATCAGAAGATGTCAAGTCTGTACAATGTTATATCTTTAAAATATGGAATTGGCAAGGGTAAATAGCTCACTTTCACAACAATTTGAACAAACCAATCTTCAAAGTTTAAATTACAGTGGGTTGCTTGGGGGCAATGTTGAAGCTAATTTACATTGATCATCACATAACAACTTAAACAGGGGATTCCCAACACTTCTTTATTTACATGGTTAAATTTACTGTGTTCTTTAGTGATCCAGTTCAGAGATTCTACAGATTGAATAACCCTCCTCAACCCAGTGAGAGTCTTGAGGCTTGCCAGGTTTGTTCATTTGAGTTTGTGTTGCTGTGACCTGCTTCTTTTTACTGAATTAATCAAAACTATAACAAAATTCTGGAATGTGTTAGATTATCATGAGCCTGATTTGAGCACCAATGGGACGGCTAGTGTATGTGTCATGCTTGTAATAGGACAGTTAACACATTCTTGCCTGAGTAAGTGGACAGAACTTGTCTTGCATTTCACCAAGTTAACTAGGTTTTTTTTTATGAAAACGTATCATCAATGTCGAGATCCTTTCTCAAATTTTGTTATAGTTTTGATTAATTGGTAACAGTACTTCGTGTCCTCGTGTCCTCATTGACAAATCAGAGTCCTGCTTTGCTGTCATCTGATATTGTTAATCACCCCTATGATTACAGACCAAATTGGACTCCACTCAGTCCTATTAACATTATTAACCAATTTTGTATTGGGATATAAGGTTGCTTTTGGTGAATTTTGATGAAAGAGAGAATATTGAATTACATTGCCTTTGTAAATACATGTTTTGAATATAATGGATATTTATGTCAGGAAAGGTTTTGTTTTTCTGCTAGATTTTTAGTGAGTCATATCTAGTATAGATCTAGATGTGTTTTACATTAAGGTCTTGAAATTGTGAGTGGCATTAATTGGTGACTGAAAACTGAATGTCAATCTAGTTATTGCGAATGTTATTGAACCCAAAACATTATCACTGAAAAACTCCTCATTTGATTGTCATGATCAGTTTTATCAAGGCTGTAACAACATAAGTCACTGCTCCAGGAAATTGTGGAACTTTTATCAGTGCATGCAGTTAACATTATCCAATACTTAACTGTTAAAAACATTTTCTTTCTTCTACAGGACTACTGTCAATCCCTTGAACATGCTCTGGCAGATTTGCGTCAAAAGTTACGTAACCAGACTGCTGAACTTAATTCCTTGAAAACAGAGCTATCCCAAGTGACTTATTACAGGAATGAAAATCAGCATCTCTGTGAACACCTACAGCAACAGCAGACTAATGTTGATCAACTCACGAAGGTTTGTTGTAGATAAGTTGGTGAAATACCATAACTGCCATAATTAAGCTGATCAGGCTCTGGGCCAGGGTTGTAATAGAAAATGCTGGAAGAATGTTGCAACTTCTTCAATTTTGTGGAAAATTTTTGTGGTAGTTGTTCTTTAACAGGCTAGAGTTATTGTGTAGCAGTTGTTTTAATTCAAGAAGTGTTTTCCTGCCCTTTTTACTTCCCTTTTTTCTCACCATCAGTTCAGTCAGTGTTAACTGTTGGAATGAAGGCTCTACAAGGTTGGGTTGCAATATTTCCCAGTTATGGGATGTTATTCTTTTTGGGGAAATATATCGGGACAAAATGGAAGACCATGGATACCTCAGACAGCTACCCTTGTTTTGAGGGGGGCAGCTTGTTAGCATGCATGAACAGCCTGGACTAGAGAAATTTAATGTAATTCATGGAACAAAGAAGATGCTCTGACTTATCAGATTGTTTATAAACAGACTCACAACATGGTTGCCACAGGTCAGGAAATAGTCAGGGAAAAAAAAAATTCTTCAAGG